AAATATCCATCTTATCCTCATCAAAGGCACAGACTCACTAGGAGTCTGGATGGCTTGTTTTGCTATTTGGACTGGAAAGCTTGAGTAGTCAAATTCTTTTGAGGCAGACCCATGACCTGTACCCTTGCATTTCAGGGTTCCCAGCACCCTTAGACTGCAACATAGAGACATTATTTTTCATTCATTTTTATAATTTTTTGCTGTTATTCACTAGCATTGCAACCACTGTATATTGTTGTTGTTTTGATGTTGTTGACCTCTGTTCACTGCAGTTCCAGATTTAGAGTCTGGGAAATGGGTTCAAATCCTGACTGCTACTTCTCACGTGTATGACTAAGCGCATCGCTTAATCCTTCTGGGCCTCAGTTTCTTCTGTAAAATGAGGGAGTGAGTGAGCTCTAAGATACCTTCAAAGTCTAAATCTCTTTCTATGAACTAGGCGATCCTAAGGTCCTCCAACTGTAGGTTCTATGAAATACAGTAAAAGTTCAATAGGGAAAGCCTGGGAAGCTAAGCATTCTGTCTAACTGTGTCCGTGGGAAAATGCATTCTGGGAGCCAAATAGGTGACTTACAGAAGAAGCACTTTTGGAGCACAGGTATTTGTAAGCTGGATAAAGCCTGTACAAGATATTAACCTGTCAATCAATATACATTTATTCATTCCTCTCTGTGTGAAAGGAACTGTGTCAGTTACTTTAGGGCTTGTAGGGAGAATGCAAAAAAGTAGAAGACATTTCCTCTCTATCCCATGGTCTCCTCTCCCAAGAGACCAAGACACTGATGGGGAAATTGTGTGCAAGTCTCACCGGAAGGAGACGATGACAGACAATCTCTTGACTAACGCCATTGCACAGAGACGTCGATGATGCTTCCTGCCCTCCTGCTTAATCTCCAAGTTCCTTCCTCCCACCAATCTCAGTCCCTGTGCCTCTCTAACCCCAGCAGCCCAACCTCCTCCTCCTCCTAAGAGAACTAATTCTCCCCACCCACCCAGCTCGGATCTACCCTTTGCTCCAGAGCCTTCTGCCCCAAGATGGAGAAAAGCCAAGTCTATTTCACTTTCCTCCTGCGGCTCCTACCCACCCCAGTTTGCACCATCCCAGAATAGTCTGCTGGTTCCTAGAACTGGGGAGTTAGAAATGGGGGGAATGTCCAGAGGTTTAGACATTAAATCTTAAAAGGAAGGAGAATGAGTCGACCCAAGAGTGGAGTAAGATAGGGTGGTGCCTAGACAGTTTTAAAAGATCATAAAAAGCTGGTTCTTTGCAAAGATTATGCAACATGGCTAATATGGAAATGTTTTGTATGACTGCACACATACAGTCTATATCTAATTGTGTTCCTTCTCAAGGAGTAGGGAGGGGAAAGAAGGAGAGAATTTGGAACTCAAAATTTAAAAAAATTAATGTTAAAGTTTTTTGTTTACATATAATTGAGAAAAAATTAAATATAAAGTGGTCACTGAAAAAAAAAAGCAGAAAATAAAATCAGCAAAATAGCAGATGAGCAAGGTGAAATCACATCAAAACCTGAAGAAATAATAAGAATAATCAGAACTTACCATACACAGTTATATGCCAACAAAAAAAATTAAATTAAGGAGTACTTTCAAAAATACTCAAACTAACAATATCCACTAGAAATCGTAGATAATCCAGTCTCAGAAGAGGGAATAGAGATAGCTATTAAGGAACTAACAAAGAAAAAAATTCCTGGCCTTGATTCACAAGCTAATTCTATCAGACTTTAAAAGAACAATTAATAAGGGGCAGGTAGGTGGCGAAGTGAATGGAGTATGGGCCCTGGAGTCAGGAGAATCTGAGTTCAAATTTGACCCCAGATACTTATCAGCTGTGTGACTCTGGACAAGTCACTCAACCCCAATTGCCTTTAAAACCAAAAATAAATAAATAAAAGAACAATTAATGGCAATACTATACAAATTATTGTAAAACAAAAAACTCCCTCGAAAAGCACCTTATCAGACTCCTTTTATGAGACAAATATAGTCCTAACACTTAAGCCAGGGAAGAATAAATCAAAGAAGGAAAACCATAGATCAGTATCATTCACGAATATCTATTCAATTTTAAAAATAAAATCCTATCAAACTACAGCAATGTCCAAAATATCATTCATCATTAACAAGTTTGATTTATACTAGAGGTGCAAAAATGACTTGACATTAGGAAAACAATGAACATAATTAACAGTTGATTTTATCTTGGCAAAGATGATATCACTTTTGCAACATCTCTTGAATCTCCCTTTCTCTCCTGTGACATTGGCCGTCACTCTGGTATGGATCCTCATCAATCATGTCTGGATTTTTACAGTAGCCTGCTGGTGGGTCAGCCTGCCTCAAGTCTCTTCCCATTCCAATCCATCCTCCATTCAGCCACCAAGGTGACTTTCCTAAAGGTCAGATCTGACATGTCACGCCCCACCCCCCCCGGCCGCCCCCACTCAATAAACTGCAGTGGTTCCCTATTGTCTCCAGGAAATACAAAATTCTCTTTCCCACTCAAGGTCCTTCGTAACTTATTCCTGACTCCCTCCTTTCCAGTCTTCTTTCATTCTCTGACCCATTCTCTTCCACCCAGTGACACTGGCATCCTTGTACTTCTCAAACAAGACACTCCATGTCCTAACTAGGGCCATTTTTTTTGTCTGTCACCCATACCTGGAATGCTCTCTGTTTATTGCCACCTCTCGTCTTCCTTCAAGTCCCAACTAAAATCCCACCTTCTACAGGAAGTCTTTCTCAATCCCTTAGTTCTAGTGTCCTTCCTCTGTTAATTATTTTTCTATTTATCTTGTATATAGCTCACTGTGTACATATTTGTTTGTGTGTTATCTCCCCAATTAGATTGTGAGCTCCTTGAGGGCAGGAACTTTTACCTTGCTTGTACCCCAGTACATTGTAGACGTTTAACAAATGCTTTTAATCACATTAAAAACAAAAAAAAATCTGACATCAGAGAATTATAGAATAGAATAGAGTTGGAAGGGATCTTAGATATTATCTAGTCCAGTCTACTCATTTGACAGATAAGGGAACTGAGGACCCAGAGGGGAAAGAATTTGTCCAAGGTCTCACAACTAATTAACAGTGTCAAAAGCAAAAATAGAAGTTTTATGTATTTTTTATAAACTCTAGATCCATTTTGCTGCCTCACTTCTTGTTATTTTAAGAAATCCCTCTCCCATCCTTACTCCCACCTCCATACACTTTTTCTAATAGAGAATTCCAAGTGGAGGAAAAAGAGGCAGAGGCAGATGGAAAATGAGCCAGTGCCTATTCTCTGAACCCTCTCTCCTGTACCCATGTCTTTACCCTCCTTCTCTTCCTGGTTTATAGACTTACTGGATATTAGCACTAGAAGAAATCACCTAGCTCTAGTCCCTTTTACAAGCAAGGAAACTGAGGCCCAGAGTGGTTGTGACTTACCCATGGTCACACAAAAAGTTGGTATTAGAATGGGAAAGAGGACCCAGGTTTTATTGGGTAGGGAGTCAGGAAACCTGGGTTCTCACCCTGACTGTGTCACAAATTTGCCTCATGACTAAGGTATTCATTACTTCCTTCCTTTTTAAGCCCTCAGTTTTCTCCTTTCCCAAATGGGAGGAAAGTGGGTGAGTCCCATGATCTTAAGTAGTTGCCACATGCAGGAAGTCTATCTTAAACCAGAACTAACTTGGGAAATGGAGGGAAAGGTGCTAAAAAGAGAGCAAAGCATTTTGGTCCTAGAGAACAAATGTTGAACCATATTCTCTTTCTCTTTGTGAAGATGATGGGGGAGGAGGCAGTAATATCACAAATGTGTCAGAAGGACTGGTTCTGCTGGGGGCTGGTTTTGTTTAATTGCTTTTATTATAGGCATGATGATATGCAGGTGTGGAGGAAAAGCGGCAGGCTTATATCCAGAAAGGACTGGTATTTTTTTTTTTTAAAAAGGCATCAATACAATTTTTAAAAAGAAAAAAAATTTAAGTTATTTGTTACAAGGGATGACTTGGTGGGCAAATGAGGAAAGGGGTATATTCAGAAATGAAAGTAATGTGGAAATAAAAAAGTAATACATTTTTAAGAGGAAGAGATGGGGAAAGGGAGAGGGGAATGAGAGAGAGGAAAGAAGGGAAAAGGAAGGAAGAAAGGAGAGAGAGAGAGAAAGAGAGAATACTATTGTACTATAAGAAATTATAAAGGGGACAGTTTCAGAGAAACCTGGGAATACTTGTATGAACTGATGCAGAGTTCAGTGAGCAGAACTAGAACAGTTTATATAACAGTAATGTAAAGACAAATAACTTTGAAAGACTTGAGAACTCTGATCAATGCAATGACCAGCCAAGATTCTAAGGGACCAATGATGAAGCTCTTGACAGGGATTATGAACTCAGAGTGCAGACTGAGACATATTTTTTGGACATGATCAAAGTGAGAATTTGTTTGGCTTGATTATGCATATTTGTTACAAACGTTCCCCCACCCCCACAAAGGGGAACTAGTGAAAGAGAGAGAATAGATTTTTGTTCACTGAACAAAATCAATTCAATTTAAAAAGGAAAATAGAAATGGAGAAAATAAAGGAAGAGAAAGAAAAGAAAAGAAGAAAAGAAAGGAAGTTAGAAAGAAAGAAGGAAAGGGAGGAAGGAGAGGCGAGAAAGAAGAAAGGAATAAAGAAAAAAAGAAAGAAAGAAAAGGAACATAACTTTGACAAAGGTGAAACAAGGTAGCCTCTGGTGACAAGCTGAAGGCCTAGGGGAAAAAAAACAACCCAACAACAGAGAAAATATGCACCTGCTACCCTAAATGCCCCTGTCAAGGTGCAATGGTATATTGTTTCAGAAATAGCTACTTACAGCTCTGGGACAAAGGTTGTAGTGGATGGAAGAGTGGGCTGAAAAACCAAATATGATTGACCACTCTGGTTTCCGCTCCAGGGGAAGTCACTTCTGCCTTCTTGTCGTTTCACAATAAGTGTGTGTATGTTCAGAGTGATGATGTAAAGAATTCGCGAGAGCCACCCAACTCTTGATCAGGGGGGGTACAAAGAGGAGATATGGGCATACAGGCACACACCACATCAGTTGCCTGTAGAGCCAAGGAGTTGGTTGACTGTGCCTGGGACCCAGACCCTACCTGACATAGAGAGGAAGATGCCAATTGCTTCCCTGGCCAATGGTGAGTGTCCTGCCATCATTGATCGGTCTTGAGAACCTCTGTCCCAGACCCATGCCCATGGGGGCATCATTTTCTGAAGGGACGGGGCTGGGGGAAGATAAGGAGCATGAAAGGATTTCTCTTGTTTCCTGGTGAATCTTACCTGAACCCCTTGCGCTTTGTGAATCTCTGGTCTAGGTTGTTGTTCAGTTGGGCCTGGTTCTTCATGACCCCGTGGACTATAGCACACCAAGCCCTTCTATCCTCCACTCTCTCCAAGTCTTCTGGTCCAACACCAATTTCTAAAAACAAGACTAGGGACTATGTCTTTGGAACTCAAAGGAATTCACTTTCTTTTCTGTTTTCTCCTATTCTCTTATGTAAACTAATAAACCCTAGAGGGAATAGGGTAAGAATTCTGTTTTATTCTTAACTGTCAGGATGGGGTGGGGGCACATTAGTCTCTGGCCTCAAGTCATTCTGGGGTCTCATCTCTCCCTTTATAGTTATACATCCCTCCTAATGCCCTCCCTGTTGAGGGGACTCCTCTGTGGTGCTGAATAGTGTATGTGGTACGTGGGGTGACAGGCACAAAGATTAAGGGGAAAAATTTTGAGTTTGAGGATCCAGAGCATTGGGAAGTCCCTGATCCCTCGTACATCATTCACCATGGGTACATAATGTCCCCTTACCAGTGGCTTTATCTATCCTAAGTGTGACCACATAACTAGCTGGGCAGTTCTATGCCTCAGTTTCTCCACTCTTTTAGGTAAAGAGGATCAGAAGAGGTGAGGTTATGTTTTTGTGTGGGGGAGGTCACTTGGGCACCTGGGGAGATATGTGTGTGGTGGGGAGGGGGGTGATGCTTCCAAAAACAGATGGAGGCAGGGAAGAAGATGGGATGGATGGGATGGAGGGGATAACTTTAAAATACTTTTCTGAATCATGGTAACTGTTCCCTGATCCCTCCCAGATAACAAGGACCCTAGGCATTCAAGTCAAAGAAGCTATGGCTCCATCAGCTCCCCATACACACCAGGGCTGCACCAAGAAATTCCGAAGTCAACCTACTTAAATGAGAAGATCCCAATTCCTGACACAAAACCAGTAGGTTCCTGGGAATCCTTGGGCATTGTGGTGGAGATAGCAGGGTAGGACTCACCATGTATCATGTAATTAAATGAACTCACTTAGGATCAAGTCATTTTTTACAATGTTCTGATCATGGCACATCTTCTGACCTGACACATAGTAGGTACTTAACACATGTTTATTGACTGACTGGCTATTATGATATACTAGCATCAAAGTTCCCAAATGAATTGAGAGAAGCTTTTCTCCTTCCAGTTTTGGAATCATAAAATGAGAATGGACCATAAAAATCATTTAGATCAGGGGTTCTTAATATTTTTTGGTTCCTTAGACCCCCTCTGACAGTCTGGTAAAGCCCATTATCCCTTCTCAGAATATGATTTTAAAATGCATGAGTAAAGACGGCAGGAGAGATTGAAGGAGGAAATAATTTCATGCCTCAGTTTTCCCTACTATTAGAAGCTGAGAAGATGAATTGCGTGGTGAAATCGGCCCCCGGAGCCGAGGGAGGTAGAATAAGGAAAAGGAGTGGAGGCATAGGGAGCCAGATAGGTATGGCATGGTGATTACCCCAAGCCTCAGTTTCCTCATTTGTAAAGTGGAGATCATCTACTTTTACTTCTTTCCTTTGAGGCGGCTAAGTAGTACAATAGAGAGGGCACAGTGTCTATGGTCAGGAAGACCTGAGTTCAAATCTGACCTCTGGCACTTATTAGTTGTATGAACCTGGGACAAGTCAACTAAACTTTGTCTGCCTCAGTTTCCTTAACTATAAAATGGAGATCACAACACCACCTACCTCCAGAGTTGTTGTGGGGATAACTTTTGTTAAGGGCTTAGCACAGTGAGTGTGCTAAATAGGAGATTAATAAATGTTTGTTCCCTTCCCTCATTTCCTGCCTTAAGGGGTAAAATGCAGATGATGATAATGACTGATGTTTCCAAAGCTAAGATTTACAAAGCACCTGACACAGATTATTCCCTTTGATCCTCACGACAGCTCTCTGAGGGCATATTTTATCAGTCCCATTTTACAACTGAGCAGATTGAGGCTCACAATCACATAGTTGGTGTCAAAGACAGAACCATGATCTGGGAGGCTCTTTCATTGCATAAAAATGCTTCATTTGTAAGGGAAGTGAAACATAAATTGTAAAGCAATACACAAATGTGAGCTGTTATTATTGTTAGTTTAGCAGGACAAGACGGGAAGGAAAAAAAAGGGGAAACCCTAGAGATGCCCATTTCCTCTTGTGTAAGATACAAGTAGCACTAGGGGTCAAGAAAATTTGCCTCGTTGGGACAGATGTGCTTTGTCAGGGAGTTTTGTTAACTCAGATGTGACGGGCAGAACAGGGACCATGTGATGAGATGAAGATGTCCCACCAGTGACTCAGCAAATCCTAAGTCCGATCTATTTTAATCTGAGAACTCCTTCCCCCCACCGGTTCCCAACCACATGCACAGTCACCCTAAAGCTCTCTCCAGGATGCAGCCGGACCAATGGATACTGACATCAGGAAGGACTTGTTAACTGGGGCATGTGTGAGATACAAGAATGGGTGATTCCATACCAATCCACACGCACTCATGAAATGCCTACTGTGTGCAGAGCACCTTATCAGGGACTGGGGGAGCCCTTGCCCTCATAGGACTAACAGTCTAGTAGGGGGAATAGAAGGAGGCAAGAACACTCCTTAAAGGAGTCCCACTATAAGACCTCTCACTGGAGGGGAAAAGGTGATGCTATGTAGTCAGTCAGTCAGTCAGACAGTCAACAAGTAATTATTAACCACTTGCTATGTGGACAGGTACTGTACTAAGCACTGGGGATACAAAGAAAGGCAAGGACTGTCCAGTCCCCTGTCCTCAAAGATCTTGGATTCTAGTGAATACGTTCTAATGGAGTCCAGAGACCTGCATCTGGATCTGGTCTCTGTGGGATGGCAGGTTGTTGATTTCACCTCTCTTGACAGTAGCTTCCTCATCTGTAAAATGATAGAGGTAGAATAAGTGATGACTTTGATAGACAATCTGTAAGGTCTGTCTTTGAGACCCCTTGCTATTCTTTCTGGAAGTGGGGTGATGGATGGCCTGACTTGTAGAAGGGGCCCAGCTAGGTGGAAGAGAACTCTAGGACTGGCTTCTGCTGACTGGAACCTACCTTAGTTAGGAGAGCAGGGGTAGAGAAGCAGATAGGGTTGAGGGTGGAGGGAAGAAGGATTTATTATCTCATTCCTTATCCCTTAGGGGAGATTTAGCTTCCGGAAGCTGTGGGCCTTCACAGGACCAGGATTCCTCATGAGCATAGCTTTTCTGGATCCTGGAAATATTGAATCTGACCTGCAAGCTGGAGCCGCCGCCGGATTTAAAGTGAATGAAGGAATAGGTGTCAATCTGAGTGGGTCGAGACTCCCCCCAAGTCTCAACCGAGCCCCCATACTTGACACTCCTCTTCCATCCCCACCCCAGGCCTTTCCCTCTCCCAGGCATAGCATCTACCCTCAAGAAGAGGCCCCTGGGGCATTTTCCTGTTTTTCCCAGCAATCCAGTGGCTATAAAGCCCAGGTTACCCAAAGCTATAATCACATGGTCGGTCTGGGCCTGTGGCTTGAATTAGAGAAGAGGTCTCTCCCTTCCATTCCCTGAACCCCAAGGACAGCAGGAAGGGGAACAAGTTCTCGGTCAAGGGGCCCAGCCAATTTGTCAGGGTGGGGCAGTGTGCCATGGTTGGGGCAGGGGGGGAAGGGAGTGGTTTCCCTGTTAGCTGAGATTTCTCTCTTGCTGTGTTCTCCTCAGCTGCTGTGGGTGCTGTTCTGGGCCACTGTACTGGGCTTACTATGCCAGCGCCTGGCTGCCCGTCTTGGGGTGGTGACCGGCAAGGACCTGGCAGAGATCTGCCACCTGTATTACCCCAAGGTGAGGAGAGAATGGGGAGGAACCTGGAATGTTAGTATTCAACTAGGTCATCTTCATTTTATTTTTTATTTTTTTTTTTTTTAGGCAATTGGGGTTAAGTGACTTGCCCAGGATTACACAGCTAGTAAGTGTCAATGGTTTGGTCTGAGGCTGGATTTGAATTCAGGTTCTCCTGACTCCAGGGCCGGTGCTCTATCTACTGCACCACCTAGCTGCCCCTTTGCCATCTTCATTTTAAAGATGTTTATGTGCAGCTAAGTGTTGCCATGTTGGACTTGGAGTGAGTTTAAATCCTGCCTCAGTCACATGCTAGCTATCTGACCTCGGTAAAATCACTTAACTTTTCCTAGACAAAGTTTCCTCATCTGCAAAATGGGGATAATGGTAGTCCTTATCTTACAGCATTAAGTAGTATATAAATGTTAGTTATTAAATGAGGAAACTGAATATCAAGGATGGAAAGTGACTATCCCAGAACAGATGGGGGCCAAGCCATGCCTGGTTGAGGGATGGGAGGGTGGGAAAAAGTATAAGTTGTAAGTAGAATAAGGAAGCAGGATCATAGCTGTCTTGGCCAGGAAGATCGTGTTCTATGACAAAGCTGTGCTTAGGGGTGCATAATCCTGCATCCCATATTATGATATTTCCCAGACTATCTACGTCCCCCTTTTCATGACTCTGCACACACACTGCTTCTCCTGTCCCGCCATCCCCAGTGCCTCTCTTCCTCCATGCCCCCTACATGTCCTGGTGTTATATCACTTCATTTCTCCTATGAGAGGAAATTAGCAAACAAGCTCATTCACACTAGGCTGTTAGAGGCTTACTGGATTCGATCTTAGCTACATTTTAAAAGCAGAGAGGAGGAGAGAACAATGTATATCCCAAAGAGATGAATTACTAATAGTGGAATTTCAGGGAATGAGAATGGTCCTCCAGTCCCCTTTCAGTCATGCCCAATAGCCCCTCCTGCCATCTTGGGCCAAAGATAAGTCCTGAATTCCCCTGAAGCCAGAAACACCTGAAGGAATACACCTAGGGAAGAGTCTATTTGAACACTTCCTCTCCAAACCCCTACTCACATCACCTTCTATCTGCAAGATGCTCCCAGAAATAGGGGGAGAAAAGGAGAAACAGATCCCCAGAGCTCAAAAAGGAAGGAGAGTAATGGAGGGGACCTACCCAGGTGGGAGAGCCCCTCTGAGTCCTCTTTCCCCTCAGGTGCCCCGGGTCCTGCTCTGGCTGGTCATGGAAATCGCAATCATTGGTTCGGATATGCAGGAGGTCATTGGCACAGCCATCGCCTTCAGCTTGCTCTCTGCTAGGAGGTAGTGACCCTAACATGTATGATTAATATCAGAGCTTGGTGTGGTAGAAAGAACTGAACTCTCAGAATCAGAAAAGACTTGGGTTTCACTCTGCTCTCTGATACTCATTCAGTAAGCAACACTGCATAAGTCACTTTCCTTCTCTGATCCTCAATAAAATGGAGGTAATAAGGTAATTGCACTGCCTAGCCCACAAAAACTGTCCTGAGTAGAAAGCTCATAGTAGAATGTAAACTCCTTGAAGGCAGATACTGTCTTTATTGCATTTGATCCCCAGCTTAGCCTGGTAAGTACTTAATAATTGTTTTACATACCTGTTTATCCATCCATCCATCCATCCATCTATCTGTCCACCCTCTCTCTATACATCTATCCATCTACCATCTATACAGCACCTATCTACCTACCCATCTATCCATTCATCTACCATCTCTTCATCTACCTACTCATCTATCCACTCACCCATCATCTACCTATCATCCGTCCATCCACCCACCATCTATCTACCCATCCACCATCTATCTATATATTTACCTACCCATGTAGCCTTCCACCATCATCTAACAACCCACCGTATCTATCTATCCATCCATCCATCATATATCTATAATTTTAGTGGATTATAGAAATTTGCATTATTTTTTTCTTTTTTTTTTAGTGAGGCAATTGGGGTTAAGTGACTAGCCCAGAGTCACACAGCTAGGAAGTATGATGTGTCTGAGGCCGGATTTGAACTCAGGTCCTCCTGACGCCAGGGCCGGTGCTCTATCCACTGCACCACCTAGCTGCCCCTACATTATTATTTTCTGAAAAATGTTAGTTCAGCCCTACCTTCAACCCATCACCTGAAGGTAGATAGCCTACCACTTCAGCAGGGCCTTGAATGCAAGGCAATGATTCCTTCCTTCCCCAAGCCCAACCACCCTGTAAGCAGGGTGCATCAGCAGCTAGGTGCCAGGAGTCGGGGCAGGCCTCTAACATGCATTGAAAAAATGCACAACTTTTAAAAAATATACCAGCAGTGGTTTGGCGGGATGTATATAAGCTAGAAAGAGAAATGAAAGTGCTGGTAATAACTATAAGTTTATAATTGTAGAATGATAGGATTGAAAACCAGAATGGGCCTCAAGGATGATCTTTACAGGTGAGGAACCTGAGGCCCAGAGGTTAGTTAAATGACTTGTCCAAAGATTCAAACCCAGATCCACTGACTCAAGGTTCATTCCGCTATAGTTCCGTCACATAAGACTTTAATTATTTCTCTAAGCTTTCTTATCTCATTTGACCTTTTTACAACTTGGTGAGAGTGGGTAGGTGTTATTATCTTTATTTGACAAATGAGCAAACAGGCATAGGAAGGTTAAGTGAATTGACACCCTAACCACCCAACTCCTCAGCCTTAACTCCCATAACGTCCTCCTGCATTCCACCTCAGTGATGCAGGAAGGTCATGTCCTGAATCTCCCCATCATCCTTGGGTTCTACTTCTACCAATAAAGACGTTGAAATTCCTTGATCTGATCATAACCTCCTATCACCTGCTCTTTCCCTGTGCCTTTCTCCTCCTCCTAACCCCATTTCTTGCCCTCACCATGATCTCAAACCCCTCTATTTCTCTGTATTCTCACAGCTATCATCCCTGCTCAGATGTTACTTTCCTCCCTTCCCCATCTCAGCCTTAGGGCTAACCAGCTTGACTCTATACTGTCTTCTTCTCTCAAATCTCTTGCCCACTGGGTTCATGCCTTTCCAAACTCTGATCCTGCCTTATTCCCCATCCAACGTCTTTGCTCCCATTGATGTGGCTCTGTCTAGGGGAAGTCAGTCAACCAGACTGACTGGGTGCCATATGAATTAACATAGTCTAATCTCTTTTTTAGGGTTTGTTTGTGGTTTTTTGGTTTTTACTTTTTTTGGTGAGGCAATTGGTGTTAAGTGACTTGCCCAGGGTCACACAGCTAGGAACTGTTACGTGTCTGAGGTCGGATTTGAACTCAGGTCCTCCTGACTCCAAGGCTGGAGCTCTATCCACCACGCCACCTAGCTGCCCCAACATCATCTAATCTCAACTGGGCACTCCCTGCAGATAGAATAGTGAGAAATGTTCTAGCTTTTCTTAAGCGCTTAAAATCAGAGACTACATCTGGGCATACAAAGAAAGGCAGAAAATGCAGTTCCTACTTTCAAGGAGCTTCTACTCTAATGTAAGACACAGAGGCTTCAACAGTCTAAAGAGGAGAAGTGCTACCTATGGCCTTTAGATAGATAGAGCATTTATCAAGTGCTTGCTGCATGCAAAGTATTGTGCTAAGTGCTGGGAACAGAAATACAAGCAAGATAGTATCTGCTTGTTACCTCAAGGTTACCTTCTACTCAGAGAAAACAATACAGAGGGCACCTGGAAAGGGTAGGTAGGGATGCTCAAGGTGGAGAGAGAGGGGGGAGGGTTAGGGGTGTGGAAGCCTGGTTTGGGGCATGATAAGGCAAAGCTCACCTATCAAAGTCCAGCATCCCAAGGGCAGAGGGTGAGGTCCAAGCGGGAGAGCAGTGGCCAGAGGGGACCAATTTGGTGGGGAGGCAGAAGCTGGTCCTTCTCCTCCTTAATTGAGGCTCTAATCCACTTCTCATAGAGATTGTTCCTAACCTTCTTTCCTCTCTTCAGACCTCCCTCTTCCCCCTCAGATCTCCCCCTCCCTCAGCCCTTTCAACTGAGAACTTCACTTCATACTTTATTGAAAAAATACAAGCCATTGTCTGTGAGCCCCCCCCTTCTCTGAAGTTCAATCTGACATCACTCCTCAATCCTCCTTCTTGACTCTAGCCCCTGATGGAAAAATGTAGTCCCTCTTCTTGTCACGGCAAACCTATCTGCTTGTATGTGCCTCGGATCTCATCTTCTCCTGTCTCCTCTAGCGGACTGTCTCCATTCATTCTCCACTCCCTTCTTTAATCTTCAACCTTTCCTTATCTGCTGGTTCCTTTCCTGCTGCCTACAAACATGGATGCTCTTCAAGGGCAGACACAATTTCATTTTTTCTTGTCATATTTCCAATGCCTGACACAGAAGGTGCTTAATAAATGCCTGCTGAGTGATTGAGTGATCCAAGCTTTCCAGCTAGATGATGGTGGAATGGGGACTCCAGGCTGTGCCCCTCTCTCTTCTGACTCTGTATTTCTTTGAGGAATTTTTCTTGTCCTCTAGCATGTACACATATTCCCCGATTGGCCTTCCCATGCTGACCCCTATCTCCTGCCCCATGGGTCCTTGGGAAGCTCAGGGGCCCACATTCTCCAGTTCTAAGGGAGACTGGGCCCCATATCTGGGCCAGGACTCAGTCCTGCAACTGATGCTCATCTGGTTGCAGGATTCCCCTCTGGGGCGGTGTGCTCATCACCATTGTCGATTCGCTGTCCTTCCTTTTCCTGGATAATTATGGTGAGTTCTTGGAGAGGACACCAGAGGCCAGCTGAAACTATCAGAGGAGGCCAAGATCTCTCCGGTCCAAGTAGCTGGAGGAGAGGGGGGCAAGTGACACATTTCCCCGGGTAACAGATCTTAGATTTATTTGCCATTTCTGAGGCTTTTTTAAAAAATGTTCTAGATACCCTCTGTGTGAGATGTGCCCGATAACATTCTGTGATACTATGAGTCTATGATTTAAATTGCAAAGCCAACACTCTAGGAGAAAACCCTATCTGAAAGTTCCCTACAGGAAGGGTGGGAGACACAGGACCAGGAAAGCTGTGAAGCCCAGTCTCCCAGAATCCTCGAAGTGTGAGGAACCCCTCTCAGTCTAGGCAGGGAAAGGAGATGTCCCAGACTGGGATGATGTCTTCAACGCATCTATCTCCCCACCTTCTTTCCCCAAGGGCTGCGGAAGTTGGAAGCCTTCTTTGGGTTCCTCATCACCATCATGGCTCTGACCTTTGGCTATGAGGTGAGACACTGAAAGCATGCCAGCCTCCCTCATCACCTCTGAAGGACAAGTCTACAATTTCCCACCTCCCCACCTTCTCGGTCTAAGTCCTCGGAAGAGCATGAGAGAGTAAAAAGAGTACTAGAATTAGACATAAAGGACCCGAGCTCAAATCCTGGGTCTGGAACTTACAAACTATGACTCAGATACAAATCACTTTCCCTCTGGGGCTCATTTCCTCCTCCATAAAAGGATGGCCAGATGAGGTCCCTTCCAATTCTCAATCTGAGCTACTCTGGGTGGGGAGGGGTGGGCACCACTTTGGAGCTGGGGGTGGGACTCATGGTGACGTGGCTCCTTTTCCTTCCCCCCACTTCAGTACGTGGTGGTGAAGCCAGACCAGGGGGCACTGCTCAAAGGACTCTTTCTGCCCTCCTGCTCAGGCTGTGGCCAGCCCGAGCTCCTGCAGGCAGTAGGCATCGTGGGAGCTATCATCATGCCCCACAACATCTACTTACACTCTGCTCTGGTCAAGGTGAGAGAGGAGGGAAGAAGGGAAAGAAAGGAAAAGTGGGAGGGGAGGACGTGACCATGGGAAAAGCTGGGAACCTTTCTTTGAGCCACAGTCCTCTGACCCCATCCCTGGCTTTGTCCTGTCCCTACATCTCTGACTCCTCCATCCTTGCCCCTCCATCCCTGGTCTTTGGGAACGATGGATCCCTCTGGACTGTTCCCACATTTCTGACTCTTCCATCCCTGACCTTATACTGTCCCCACATCTCTGACTCCCACATTCCTGCTCCTCCATCCCTGGTCTTATACTGTCCCCACATTCCTGACTCTTCCATCCCTGGCCTCATCCTTTCCCTACATCTCTGACTCCTCCATCCCTGGTCTTACACTGTCCCTACATCTCTGACTCCTCCATCCCTGCTCCTCCATCCCTAGTCTGATACTGTCCCCATATTCCTGACTCTTCCATCCCTGGCCTCATTCTTTCCCTACATCTCTGACTCCTCCATCCCTGCTCCTCCATCCCTGGTCTCATACTGTCCCTCCATCTCTCACTCCTCCATTCCTGCACCCAAACCTTTAGTCCTCTCCCTTCAGTATGTAAGGATAGATCAATGCCTTGGAATTTCTAAATGGAGACTGGATTAAAGAACTAGGAGGATCCAACTCCAAGATTCTCTGAGGAGAGTCCTCCCTCCCTCCCTGAAAGCCCTCCCTGTCCTATCCCCCAGTCCAGAGAAATTGATCGTTCCCGAAGACAGGAAGTCCGAGAAGCCAACATGTATTTCCTGATAGAGGCTTCCATCGCTCTGTTTGTCTCCTTCCTCATCAACCTGTTTGTCATGGCGGTCTTTGGCCAGGCCTTCTACCAACATACCAACCAGACTGTGGTGAGAAATCCAGGGACCCTCATCGCATATCCACTCTCTGGCCTTGGGGACTCACTGGGTTTCCATGGGGTCCTTTACCCTTGAACCCCCTTCCCGTTCTCAGGATTCTGACTCTGAGCTGCTACCCCTCCCTCCCTGCACTCACCTTGGTTTGGGTTTGGCATCTGTCTCTCCATCAATTCTCATTCAACAAATAGTATTAAGCACCTTCCACCAGATTTAAAATGGCCATCCTTGTCCTAAAGCCTTGAGTCTGCCCAGCACACAGGAAAGAGCACTTGGACTAAGGAACAGAAAAGTTTGGTTCTTGTCCAGACTCAGACACTAACAAGCTATCTGACCTTGGACAAGCCCCTTCCCCTCACTAGTTTCCTCCCCTCTACAATAAGGGAGTTAGACCAGGTGACCCCTGAAGACCCAGCTCTGGTGTTCTGGGGTAACGCTTTCTCTGCCCTTGTCTTCATACCCACAGCATGATATTTGTGCCAATGGGAGTCTCTCTTCTTACACCTCATTTCTCAAGGATAACCAGACTGTGACTGCAGACATTTACCAGGGGGTGAGCCGGACGAAGGGGCCTGGAGCCCAGGGACCCTCTTCCCATTCCCTCAGCCTGAGTTCCCCAAGACTAGGCAGGAACCTTCTGGCTTGAGTGGGCAGCTGTTAGACTCTGAAGGGGGCGGCGTGGGGAAGGGGACCTATTCGAGACCTGCCTGGACCAGCCTTTAAACATCAGTGATATTCTGCTCAAGGGTGGGACCCCTGGTTGCCCAGCTATGTTCCAGCTCACTGGAATGGCCCTGAGGAGGGCACCACTCAGGCTGGACAGCTCATTTCCCCAACAGCCCCTTCTTCTTTAGGGTGTGATTCTCGGCTGCTTCTTCGGCCCTGTGGTCCTCTATATCTGGGCTGTGGGCATCCTGGCAGCCGGCCAGAGCTCCACCATGACAGGCACCTATGCTGGGCAGTTTGTGATGGAGGTACGTGAGCTCCCAAGGAGGAAATAGGGGCCCATTAGGGGTGGGCACAGACAGGGAGTAGAGAGGTTTGTGGGAGGATGACAGGGTTAGGATCTCAACTACTAGGAGCCTAGAGGGAGTCGATACCTGCCTTCCTTCCTCACCATTTGGCAAAAAGAAGAGTAGGTGATACTCTGGGGTGCTCTTTCATCTGGAGGCCAGGCTGGTCCCTTCTGGAATTCCCTTCACCTACTTCTCTACCTCCTTGGCTAAGGCTCCCCTCCCATAGAAAGCCAGAGAACATCAGAGCTGGAAGAACCTTAGAGAGCATCTAGGTTCTTGTTCAAAACCTTTTATTTTATTGGTGAGGAAAATAAGGAATCAAAGAAAGACTCCGACTTCCCTCTACTTCACACAAGAGGAAACTGAGGGGCCCGGTTAGGAATGGAAACCAATGCCCTGGGTCCAGATTGCAGGGTTTCCTCTAGTCGCCCTCGAGGTCCCAGACGTCCATCTTCCCTCCTGGCCTCCCAGGGCTTCCTGAAGCTCCGCTGGTCCCGATTTGCTAGGGTCCTCTTCACCCGCTCCTGTGCTATCCTCCCCACCATCATGGTGGCCATCTTCAGGGATATACAAGACTTGTCTGGTTTGAATGACTTGTTAAATGTGCTTCAGAGCCTGCTGGTAAGAGAGCTCACCTGCTCATGGAGGGGCTCCTTGCCCAGGGGCGGGGGGCTATACCCTTCTGCCTTCTTGTCTCCATCTGCCCTCCCCTGCCACCCTACCTTGCTGGACAGGCCAGCCAACAGCCTAAGGCCAGACCAAGGCTCACTCCCAGAATCCTCAGCCTCCCCCCACTTCATGCCCTTCCACCCCCCAATATTTACCCATCTCTCATCTCTCCCTCAGCTCCCCTTTGCTGTGTTTCCCATCCTCACCTTCACCAGTATGCCCGCCATTATGCAGGAGTTCACCAATGGCTTGTAAGTGCCCTCAGGACTCTTATAATAGTAGTAGTAGTAAGAATAGCAATAGTAGTACTAGTAATAATAATAATAATAACTAGCATTTACATAGCACCGTAAGGTTTACAAAGCACTTTACATGTCACCTCACTTGATCATAAGCTCAGGGAGGTAGGTGCTAGTATTATCCCCATTTTACAGATGAGGAAACTAAAACTGAGAGGTCACCCAGGGTCACAAAGCTCCTAAGTGTCTTCCTAAATCTAGGTGCATTACTTTACCCACTGCTGGCTCTGCTATATTACCAGGTGCTCCTCTCCATCTCCATCTCCTCCTCCCCGCCCCAGATTTGGAGACTACACATACCTCCCCAGCACAAGAAATATCAGACAAAAGGGAAAGCCTGGCCAGAGGTCCTTCTTTCTCTCACTTGGGCCAGGCCCTTGGGGGAGCAGGGGGTGGAGAGAAGAGGGAGGGTGGAATAGGTCTGTTCTGGCCATCCCAAGCAGGACAATGGGGCTGGGGAGGAGAGGTGAGGAGCCAGATCTAACTTTATTCTGGGACCCTGAAAAGGATCTCTCCCATATCTCTTCTCCAGGATATGCAAAATCATCACATTCCTCATCATGGGTCTGGTCTGTACCATCAATGCCTACTTCATAATCAGTTACCTGGAGGGGCTACCGCATCCTGGATACTATGGGCTGGTAGCTCTGCTGGCTGTGGTCTACCTCGCTCTCTTCTTCTACCTGGTGAAGTGGGAAGGGGCAGCCTGGGAGGTTTGGAGGGGAGCGGAGATCTGAAGGGCTGAGAAGGAAAGGGGCTGAGGGAGGGTGAGAAATGAAGGCCTCAGCACACTGAGGCTCCAGGAACAGGGATTTAGAGTGCTCTCTTCAGGGATGGGAAAGGCCAGGAAAGCAGATGCCGGTGTTCCCAGACAGGCATTTATTAAACACCTACTATGTACCAGGGGCTGTGCTAAGTACTCCGGGTACAAAAAAAGGCCAAGAATAATCCCTGTTCTCTAGGAGCTCACAGTCTAAGGGCCAATGGGGACAAACAGGCAAACTGCTCTGTGCAAACAAGATAAACACAAGATAAATTGGAAATTATCTCACAAGGGACTGGGTGGGGGGAGGGGGAGTACTAGGAAAGTACCGGGCAGGTAAGGGGGACACCAGACTGGGAAGTGCAGTCTGCCTCCCAATTCTGATTTCCCTCGTGCCTCTTCCCAAACCTAGATGTGGACCTGCTGCGTTGCCCACGGGGCTGCTGCTCTGATGCACAGTTCTCACCAGCATTTCCTCTACGGACTCCCACAAGAAGAGCACGAGGGGAGTCCCACCAGCTCAGACCCTAGCCCCCGGGGCCAGGGTAGGGCAGAGGAAGGAGGGGGAGTCCCACCTGCCTAACTGCTGGAAAACTCGGCTTAAGGCCCCTCACTTAAGGCTAGGATTAACCAGAGGGTCAAGTCGTAAGAGTGGTCCCAGGTCCAGGGACCCCTTCGCTCTTGAACTTCGGGACACTGAGTGAATAGGGGATGGGGGAGCGCGAATAAACTACTGATAACGGGAGAGAGGAAGACAGGAACGAAAACTAAACCAGGAATCCCTCAAACTCTCGGATTACTGGGGTCCTTGACTTCTTGCCCAATCTCAGGAGAGGCCTGGGATCCGGGGTCGCCCCCTCTTCCCCACCAGCTCTGTACCCATTTTCCTGGCGGGAACACAGTTACGGTTCACTCCCCAGTCGGGAGCCCTTGCCTTCCGGGCCCGACTCATTTGTCATCTCCCCGGGGAAGGCCAGGCGTCCGCAAATCCCACGCCTCAGTCATTAGAGGCGACCCACAAGTCCCTCAAGGGGCAGAAAAGTCCCCAACTTGGGGCACCCCCCCAAGGAGCCACAGCGAGATCAGTAGGGTCTCGGGGCGCTCTCAGCTCCGGCTGGGGAGAGTGAGTGCCCTCGCCTCTCATTCTACAGAACGTGGGAGGCCGGGGGAAGCCCCAGGGATTGGCTGGGGCTCCCCCTCCCTTCCCTACGCCCAGCGCCGAAGCGGCTCTTTACCGACGGTCCCTGAGCGGTTTCAAGGCTCCCCCAGCTCCCTCCTCCTTCTCTGCCTCCCGCCTCCACTCGCTGAAGTCTGGAGAACGGGCCCAGGGTGGGAAGGGGGAACATGGATTGGGGGTGCTGCGTTCCAGGGCCCGAAGCTTCCTGTAGATTGGGGTGCATGTGAAATAGGGGCGCCCGGGTCGCCCGTCTTCCAAGAACCCCCTAGTCCGGCTGTCCGGACCCGCTTCAGGGCTGGGGCGCTTGTTTTTGAGAAGAATTTCCTCTTTCTTAAAAGGGCGACGGCTTAGGTGGGGCCCTCAGTGTTGGCGAGATGGGGCGTGGTGTAGGAAGAGGAGGGGAAGGAAAGGGCGGGGAGTGGTGGAGAAGGGTGGGGAGGGGACCCACCCAAATAGCCTGGGTGGATTTACTGCCCTTCCACCTCGTCTCTCTTTCCCTAATAAACCTATGCCACACTTCCCGTTTGTGTGAAGTTTTTTGCACCTACCAATCAGTTAATCGAAATTTATCTCCCTGCTTTCCCGGACGAATTAGATCAAAAGTACTTAAGTGAAAGAGTTAGGATCCCAAACCTGGTTCCTTTGATGCTCATTCTTTTATTCAAGCCAGGACAGTCCCTAACCGAGCTATACAGTGGAGCCTTGAGTCAGTAAAGACAGGAGTTCAAATCCGACCTCAATAATCTCTACCGGCCTTAGGTTGTTCTAAGAACCAAATGACACTCTATTTGTAAAGTGGCAAGTGTAAAGTGGTAGGCGCTGTGTAAGTGTTCATTTCCCGTCCTTCCCTCGAATTTGCCCCTTCTACGTTACTGCTGTTGAAGGTCACCCATTTTCCAGCCTCAAGGTTATCTTCTACCCTTCCCTCTCCCTCCTTTCCACTAGAAGCAACAAACTGCCAGATCTAATTGATTGGCTGGGGACTCCACATGACCACTCTAATTGAGACTCTAATCACCTCTGGACCAGACTACTGCAACAGTCTCCTAATTGGTATTTGTCCTATTGCCACGTTACCCTATACATCCTCTGTACAGCTGCCAGATTAGTCTTTAAATACTGCGTCTGGCTAAGTCACCGCCCCACCCCCACCCGAGCTCAAGAACGTTCTGTAGCTCCCTACTGTCTCTAGGATAACATCCAAACTTTTCAGTGTGCTGTGTAAATTCTATAAATCTACCTCCAGCCTCTTCCAGGCTTATATCATATTTCTCCCCTTCACACGTTCTGAATTCCACGCAAACTGGCCTCCTGGTTCTTGTAATTCAGCATTCCATCTTCACTTTCCATAGGCCCCCGTCTGCCTCATCTCTGTCTCATGAGTCCTTAACTTTTTTTGAGGCTGGGCTTTTGGCCACTCCTATTGGAAGCTTCCCTGATTTCTGAGAGTTGTTACAGCTCTCTCCCTGCTCAAATTAGCTTCATGCATTTGTACATGTAGATTCCTCCCAAAAGAATGCAAATTTCTTTTTCAAGGCAAAGACCAGTTTTATTTTGCCTTCATAGGCTCCAGGACCTAGCAGAGTGCCTCTTACGTGTCATGGTAGGGATTTAAATGTTTGTTGAAATTAATTGACCTCAGCAGAGGAATCGGGACAGCAAAAGCTTCACCAGGGAGATGAACCAAAGCGGGGAAACTGAGGCACACAGAGATGAAGACCTAGTCGTGGGGGCCAAGAAACCTGATATTCATTCCACCCTGTGGCTCCTAAATAAAAATTTGGTCTATAGGACGAAGTCTGGTGAAATGGGGGAGGGGAGGAAAAGAGTTCTTTCAAACTGCCCACTTAGGGGACTAATCTTTTTGCAGAAATTGCCTGCATTCTATGCTCCAGTAATAAAAATAGCTCAGATTTGTAAAGCCCCTTAAGGTTTGCAGAGTGATTTTACATACATTTTTAATTCAGTTCTCACAAAAATCCAGTATTGTTAGTCTCTCCCTCCCCTCATTTTGCACATGAGGAAACTGAGGTTCAGAAGGGTTGTAGCTTGCTTGTAACTACTTGCTTGTAAATGGAGGATTCCAACTTAGTTCTCCCTGATGTCAAGCCCAGAACTCTAGCCACCGGGCCGGGATGATGCAGGAACAACCAAAATCAGTTTCCTTCCTTCCTCCACACCCCCCCCCCAAATCCATCCTAGTCATTGGAGACAGGATAGAGCCAGATCAACTTTTTATTTGTCTAAATCTAAATAAAAATACAAGAATCAAATTACAGCAAAAAAAAAAAAGAAAGAAAGAAAAGAAAAGAAAGAAAGAAAGAAACCCCAAACCACCTCTTACTCCACAGGCTGACCGCTGAAGAAGGATAGGACAGCTCTTCTTTCAATGGTCTTCTTTGTTCAGCTAGAAAATGGGTTGCTGCAGGTTGATCTCCCAGTTTCTCTTTACATTTGACCCCCTAGGGGTTCAAAGAAAGGAGTCCTTCCCCCCCTCCCACCCCCACCCCCCACCCCTTCCACATTTGTAGTGCTTAAGGTTTTGGAGGGAGGGTGGTGTAGAGACCAGAGTTAATCTCTAGAGCCAGGGACAGTTTCTGACACATTCTTGACTGTGTGACGTTGGGCAAGTCACTTACTCCCTAAGATTATGTTTCAGAGAAGGTGCCAAACTGCATTGGTAAAAAGAGTGTCTTCATGCAGGAATTCCTTATGCCAATGAAATCATGTGCTTTATAATTTAAAGTTTACAAAGCACTTTCCTCATTAACATCCAGGAACTCTAAGCAAAGTCTTTGTGATCCACTTCCTTAAATATAACCCCTGTCTCATCAATAGCCATAATTTCCCTCCCTGTCTCCCAGACCCATCAGGGCCAGCCATCAGGGTGATCAATTAGGGGAAAAAAGATTTGAATTTGGGAAGATAGTTCCAGGCCCAGTGCTCTATCCACAGCGCTATCTAGTGGCTAATCCTGACTCTTCACTGGCCCTTGATAGCGAAGTCACTGCTACCCAGATCTCATCTTTTCAGAGATGCAGAACCAGAAAGGACATTAGAGGTCATCTGGTGAACTCATACCTGGACAGGAAGCCCCTCTTCAGCAGCCCCAAGAAGTGAATGGCTTTAACCCCATAAGGATAGGGAATTCTGCCTGTATCCTCCTCATATAACAGATAAAGGTCATATCCTTTGCTCCCTCCCCACCCCGTCAGCCCAAGTACAGACTGTCCACCTCTAAGAGCCCAGTGAAGTGAAAAAGTCCTGTATTTGGAGTAAAAAGACATGGGTTTGAATCCCAACACTGCTACCAAACAACTGAATAAATCCCAATGAGGAAGTTGGCGCAGGTCCAGCTCTGATACTACTCCTGTCCCACTGGTGTCCCTGTGGCCAGGGAGGTCAGGCACCTGGCCTCAATGCAGATAAGCACACTGGAGAGAAATCTTCCTTGATCTCCCCCACCCCATACTTGAGGGCTTCATCCAAGGCAAATGACACCTGGGCAAGTGCCCAGGTGGCACTCATAGCGAATGCCTCCCAGAGCCCCATGGCCCTCTACTTTCAGATCAAGGCACAGAAGCTCCCCTAGGGAGGAAGGACCCCCTAAGACACAATCCAGGTCAGTTAGGTGGTGCAGTGGGTAAAGTACAGGAAGACCTGAGTTCAAATGTGACCTCAGACACTTACTAGCTGAGTGCCCCTGGGCAAGTCACTTCACCCTGTTTACCTCAGTTTCCTCATCTGTAAAATGGGTTGGAGAAGGAAAGGGTAAATCACTCCAGTATCTTTGCAAAGAAAACCCTGGATGGGGTTCGGAAAAGTCGGACACAACAGAAAAGACTGAACAAAAACAACAATAGACAGAGATTGTCTCTATTAGAGACAAATGGAGACAATCAGAGACCTAGAACTCAGGATAAAAACTAGGAGTGGATATGTACAGGGCAGCTAGGTGGCGGCATAGTGCATAGAGTCCAGGGCTTTGAGTCAGGAAGAGTCATCTTCATGAGTTCAAATATGACCTCAGACACTTACTTGCTGTGTGACCCTGGACAAGTCACTTAACCCTGTTTGCCTCGGTTTCCCTATCTGTAAAATGAGCTGGAGAAGAAAATGCAAGCCACTTCAGAATCTTTGCAAATGGAGTCACAAGGAATCGGACACGACTGAAAAAAAGACTGAACAAGAAAATATAATCCACACCGCACAAGACATAGACTCACCCCTAGGCAAATGGGCTTTGAGACACAGCCTTTCAAATTCCGAAAACACTACAGTCGGTATTATCGACACTGATGGAAAGTATTGTAAAGTGCCATGTAAACGTGAGTTATTATTAATTTATTGTTATCATTGATTATTAATCAATTTTTTATTATCATATGAACAGATGTTCATTATTAATTAACAGAATCTTGGACATTTCTTGGAAGTTAGGGAGGTCCTCGGGGCTCCATGCTGGTGAATACTGGTAGTATCAATACTGCCATCACATAACTCGTGTATTATATTTTGTTAATTCTATTAATTTTATTCTTTTTTAAACTTTTAAAAAATTTTGAGTTCCGAATTCCCTCCTTCCAGCCTCTCTCCCACCCATTGAAAAAGCAAGCAATATGATACCCACTCGTGTATTATATGTTAAATCAATATATTGAATAGTATGGCTTGAGTGTCCAGTATATCTGGGCCTCGTTCTTCCTGCAAGGAAGTTGGAAAACATTCCTACTCCAGATCCAACGACCTTTGGTTCTATAGACTTGTGGCATTCCTGGACCTACTAGGATCGAGAAAACCTAGGTTCTAACGGTTCAACGGTTAAATCTAACATAATCTAACATTAACTGTGTGCCCTTGGGCCAATCTGAGTCTCAGTTTCCTTATCAGGAAAATGGGAATAACAATACCTGCCAGAGGGGGTGGGGACGAGTTTGGGACGTGAGGAATGCTTCGGGAGAAAAGAAAGCCTTACTTAAATAGTAAGATTATCTTCAGTACTTTGGGCCCAGCCCCGAGCTGGTTGAATTTGATTCGGCTGAACTATCAATAATTATTAAATTCCGCCTCTAAACTCAGTCGGGGTGGAACTACCCGGCACCCCCCCCCCAAAAAAAGAGGGAGGAAGCGTGAATGTGGAGACCTGGTTACTCGGAAGTCATCGCCCTTTTAAGGGGGAACCTTGAAACGGCGCCAGGGTTCCATGTTTGTATCCGCCTCGCGGGGAGGAAACTCCATGTTGTAACAAAGTTTCCTCCGCACCCCCTCCCTCCCCCCCCGTTTTTTCTCCCTCCCCCCTCGAGCCTCCCCCCTCCTCCTTATTTCCTGGGGATCCCTATCTCCCTTCCTCTCCCTCCCCCCCCGCGCCCCCATTCCGGCCCGAGCTGGGGGGGGGGGCCGGGCGACGGGGGCAGAGTCCGGCCCAAGACCGCCTGGCCCCATGGACAGCTCGGCCGTCATCACTCAGATTAGCAAGGAAGAGGCGCTGAGTCCGCTGCGGGGGAAAGGTAGCCGGGCAGGCAGGGCTGGGGGAGGGGAGGGGGTGCAAGGTTGGAGGAGGGAAGGGTGCAGGGCTGGGGAGGGGAGAAGAGACGGGGTGCACTGGCCGGCCGAACGCCAAAGGGCCGCTCGCTCGCCTTCACTCTCTGTACCATCTCTCCTGGACGATCTCAAAGCACCAAGTAGTGCTCGGAAAGGGGAGTTTGAACTACCAGCTCTGGGGACTTGGGGCGGGGTTTCGCTCCTTTGGCGCTCTCGCTGAGCCAAAGTGGGGAAACTGAGGCTGGCGAGTGGAAGGTGGCAGGGGATGCGGGACTGGGAGGCTGGGGTAGTCTGAGGCAACAAGATCTTCTTCCGTGTCACCCCACCCTCACCCCGGGAGTCTGGGAACTGAACCCAAGCAGCTGGGGGCCTAGGGAAGTAACGGGCTGCGCCTGGGGGAATTGCATATTTGGGGGGTGGGAGGGGGCGAATCAAGGCCACTCAGACTCCACCCCCTTCTGAGCCGGGTGTCAGGTTGGGGTGGTAACGAGGAGGGGGTGTATGCTGTGGGTCCGAGGAGTGAGAGGGGACTGTACTTTGCTAATCTAAGAATGGGCCAGGGTGGAGTGGGGAGGGGGGTGCTCCGCCCCGCTCCTTCCCCCCACTTCCTGAATCGAGCTTGAAAGCATTGATTCTGAGTCCAGCCACTTCTTAGGGCCACCCAGCCCAGCTTGGAGCAGATTTCATAGTACCCTAGCAAGGGGGGTGAGGCGAGGGAGGTATCAGGCAGTCAGAAACTTGGGCTTGGGTCTGCACATTTGGGGTGGGGGGATACCCTATCTGAGCATACACGGCACACACCAGAAGAACGTCACTTGTTTTCAAACCCCGACCCCACCCCCAGCTTTCTATCACTCCCCAGCAGGCTTGCTTTGAGCACCCTTCTACACTCACGTAGCATCGAAGTGGGAGTTCCATTCAGAGACTGGGTCTCCCAACTGGATTGAAATTGACGTTATCGTGTGTGCTACGGTGGTTAAGCTAACTTCCTTATTATCCAACTGCAGGGGCGGGAAGACCCCCAGCCCCCGAAGTTCGGTGAGCTAGGGGTGCAGGAGGTTAGAGCTGCTTCAGGCCTAAGGGGAGGGGAGCGTGAGGGGACAGGGACTGAGACGTGTCGGTCCAGATGGTGCGGGACGGAGTACAGGCTCACCAGTGTCTGGCTATTCTCCTGACTCCCCCCTAGTGCCAGCTGGCGCTGTGGACATTGAACCCTAATGTCCAGAGGGAGGAGCTAGAAGGCAGGAAGGGAGTTGGTGGGAGGTAATAGCGAGGGTAGTGTGTGTGAGAGAGAGAGAGAGAGAGAGAGAGAGAGAGAGAGAGAGAGAGAGAGGGAGATCTGTCCTTGGATAGGGAAAAGAGCACAGATCTGAGTTCAAATTCTCACTTTGCTGTTTACCACCTATTTGATCCTTGGGCAAATCACTCTCTGAACCCGTTTCTTCATTTATAAAATTAAGACAGAGGTGATTGACGCAAGGTGCAGAGCCATAGATTTTTGGACCTGACAATTTTTGGTTTTTGGTGGACTCTGTTTACTTGTGACAAGCAAAGGTTTGGTTTTTTTCTCCTTCTGTTTTTAATTTAAAGGGGGTGGTGGTAGAGGAGATTAGCAGTAGTGATACCAAGAAACAGAGTAACATTTTTTTAATGCATAAGAAAACAGAAGGACTTTCAGAGGGGAGCGGAGTACAGTTTTGAAAGTAATGTATAGAATGTATTATATACTTTTTAAAAAGGCAGTGAAATGGAGATTCACAGTTTCGAATAAAATCATCTTTTTTGTTTTCTGCCCTTTTCTAATATTTAAGTTCAGAATAATTTTTCTTTTAATGAGGAATTTGGATTTTGAGTTGAAGAGCTTATGGTCCCTTCTTCAAATTCTGTGATCTCATCACATAATATTACTTCTCTGGGGTCAGCCAGTCTTAGAGACATAAACCTCTGTGTCTGGCATCTTGATTTATCCCTTGTAAATTTGTTTTTTCCCCCCAAAAACACTTCAGTATACACCAATGAATGAGGATTGTGTATAAAACCATGAGCTCTTATGTTCATTTTTTAAAAAATGTATCTTAAACTTAAGAAGGTAGTAATAAAATTGCCCTGTGTCCCCTTCTGAACTTTTTTGTTTTGAGTGTTTTACTGAGACTCTTTTCTTTCTTTTGATCTCTCTGTCACTACACACTAAACTATCCACCTCCCTACCCCCAAGCCCTCTCTTTTAACCCATAAATCTAGTCAGTAAAAAAAAAAAAATCCCCTTGGCAGTATCTGACAAATGTCCCACTCTGCACATCTATTCCATGGCTTCTCTCTAAGAGGCGGCTGATGTGTGTCACCATTTCTCCCTCAAAGTTCTGATGTCTTTCAAAGTTGTTTTCCCTTATGTTACCGGGGTCATCTTGTCGATGCATCGGTTCATACTAAGCCGCATTCTTCATTAGCATAATTTTTCAAATCTTGGTCTACTTCCTGACCTGAACTGATTTCCTTTGACTTCCCTTAGGGGGAGCCCACAGGTTGAGAGTCAAGGATTCAGCCCCACCGGTGGGAAGCAGCCAAGTCTGACTGAGGAAATGCTTGCCTGGCAACTGTCCCCTCCCATTTGGTGGCTATCTGTGTGCCTCATCCCCTCCTTGGCGGCCAGGGAGTAAGCAGGGCTTCAGTAGAGAGGAGACAGCTGGGAACTTAGCATCCTTGGAAATGCTCCAAGGTTAGGTGACTTGTGCCTCAGGCCCAGGTGGGGATTTTTGGAGGGTTTTAGATTGATAGGAGCATAGATTTAGAGCTGGCAGACACCTCACAGGTCACTGAGCCCAACTCTCTTTTTACATATGCAAAGAAAAGTTAAATGACTTGGCCGTTTATGCGCTAATAGTAAGAGGGATAGAAGCAGTATTTGAACTCAGACCTTCTGACTCATTCCACTGCGTCATGCTACCTTCCTCATTCTCCCCAAGCATCCTGGCTTTTTTGGTGTTCCGATCTTGACAAAGGGTGGGGCTGAGTGTGGGTCTTGGTGTTCCCGTCCACAAGGAGACCAGCCCACTGTATGATCTTTGGACTCTACAGGTGATCAGCCGTCATCACCTTCGAAAAAACCCCGGAGCCAAGGAATTATCCATTCTCTGTTTTGCTGCCTGTGTCACGACGACACAGAGCCTGTGCCCATTAACAATAATGCCCCGCTGCTGGTGGAGGAGAATGGGACTGTTCCCAAGGTCAGTAAACTGTCAGGGTGCCCCCTCAAGGGGCAATATAATTATTGTCATCTCCATCACCACATTATTAATGAACAAATCACTTACATTTAGACAACCTTTTAAGGTTCCCAGCATGCTTGCTTGCTTTCTATTTTTTTTTTTTTATGAAGCAATCAGGGTTAAGTGTTACATAGCTAGTAAGTATCTGAGATTGTATTTGAACTCAGGTCCTTCTGACTCCAGAGCCAGTGCTGTATCCAGTTCCACACCTAGCTGTCCCCAGCAGGTTTTCTTTGCAACAATTTGAGGAGGGTAGGGCATGTAGGTGCTACTATTGCCATTTTACAGATGAGGAAACTGAGGCCAGAGAGGTCAGATGTCTTGCCCAGAGTCACACAACTAAGAACATTAGAGCTGCTGTTTTGCCTTGGGCCTCCTGACCATGTGAGCCCCTGAGTTAATCATTAGAGTAATAGAACCTGTATACCGCTCTCAACTTTTCAAATTGCTTTCATAGAATTCAGTTCAGCTATATAATCATTAAGTGCCTAGCCTTAGCTTTAATATAATAGAGTGGATGGTGGCTAAGTATTCCACATACTTAATGGATGCATTTAATTAGATGAGTCATTTAACTTTAATGAAGCCTCAGTTTCCTCATTTGCAAAATGGGAAAATAACGTTTATTCCTACCTCACAGGAGTGGCTCAAAGGATCAAGGATAGGGACTAGATCTGTGTTTTCCTTGGCACAGAGAGCTCTGGAATGAGGAAAGCCCTTCCAGCAATGTGCAATGGCCCTATCTGTTTTATGTCTAGTCTTACAGAATTTACTAAGCACTGGGATGGTAAGTGATTTGCCCACAGCCTCAGTCAGTCATTGGGTGACTGAGTGGGGCATTTGAGCCCAGGTCTTCCGTACTCTTGGAAGGTCAGTTTTCTGTGCCAAAACCACCTCATTATGAGCATCAAATTAAGTAACATACGCTATATCTCAAACCTTCAAGTGCTTTACAAATGTCGGATGTTTATTATTGTTGTCATTGTCATTTGCAAGGCTTGGGGGATACAGGCATTTTGTAGTTTCATCCTCCCAGAAGCCCTGGAAGACAAGATAGGGCAGATAACTGTGCATTTTACAGATGAGGAAACTGAGGACAAGTGAAATCATTTGCTTCCAGGTCTTCTGGAAGTGAGTATCAGAGCCAAGACCAGAATCCTGGGCATCTGATTTTCCATCTGGGACAATTCACTGTGCTCTCCTGAGGAGGGGCAGCTGAGGAAGTGTTCTTTAGGAAGTAGGGATTGAGGGGCAGCTAGGGCAGCTAGGTGGTGCAGCTAGGTGGAGCACTGGCCTTGAAGGACCTGAGTTCAAATCTGGCCTCAGACACTTACTAGCTGTGTGACCCTGGGCAAGTCACTTAACTCCAATTGCCTCAAAAACACACACATACACACACACACACACAAACACACTAATAAAAAGGGAAGTCAGGACTGAGGCATAGAAGAAGAGGCATTTGGGGACATTGACTTGTCCTGTTGCTTCTTGGTGGACAGCCATCCTGTTACCTGTCCCCCTTTGTCCTCCCAACAGGCACCGGCTAAATATCTTCTTCCTGAGGCCAAAGCCCAGGACTTGGGCAAAATCTGTGTGGTCATTGACCTGGATGAGACGTTGGTGCACAGTTCATTTAAGGTTGGATTATGACTTTGGGACCCTCCCAGCCCCAGCACGACCCCTCCCACCACCCTCTAAAGTCCTGGGGCTGGAGCTCCTTATGCCCCCCTGCCAGCTGGCCTGTTCTCCCTCCCTCCTTTTCCTTCCCGCTGTCTCCGAGGGAGTGGCTGGAAGTGTGCTTCGGCCCCACTGCCAGAGCTCAGTCACTCGGTCACTCGGCCACAGCCTTTTTGCATTTCCTACAGCCCGTGAACAATGCAGACTTCATCATCCCTGTGGAGATTGATGGAATGGTTCACCAGGTGAGTGGATGGGGGAGGGCCATGGGGTCAAGGGCAGGGATTAGGGGGGTGGGGGAGGGCGGAAGGGTAAGAAGGCAGGGAAGAGCCAAACTCACTGGTTTCCTTTGAATTTCTGAGGCTGTCAGACTTTAGGATCTCCTCGCTTCCCACCATTCTCTCAAATGTTAGAGCTGGAAGGGGCCTTGGGTATGACAGAGTTTGGGGTGGAGGTTTGGGAGTCCTTAATCTGGGGTCCATAATTTTTTTTTCTATTTTGATAATTGTACTAAACAGTTTAATTTATGTCCCTTGTAATCCTGTGAGTTTTGTCTTGTGCATTTAAAAACATGATTCTGAGAAAGGATGTGTAAACTTCACCATACACAGTAAAGATTAGAATGTTTGATCTAGTCCAACCATCCCATTTTACAGATTATGAAGGGAAGGAAGTGACTTGGTCCAAGGTCGAACAGCTATTTAGCTGCTTTCTTATTTTGGCTCTATTGAGAAAGTCTAGGGCCTTTTGCTTATTTCTCTTCTTCCAAATCTCTGCCCTCCTCTCACCTCTCACCCCACCCTGTGGCCGGGACCCGTTTCAAGTAATCCAGGATAGGCTGTTTTTTCTTCAGCCTGTTCTCCATTACTTGGTTCGGGGGCCGGTACCCAGCATCGCTTGGGGTGAGGAGGGCCCTAGGGTACCCTGTCCTGTGCCCCTACCCCACCTGTAGGCCTTTCCCCTAGCAATCTGAATGTGACCTCATTCCTCCTATGAGACAGGTAGAATCAGAGAATTAGTCATGGTGGCAGTGTTGGGTGTGGAGAATAGGGAAGTTTGGTCCCTGCACCTTCAGATCAGCTAGCGTTTCTGGGCTTCTCCACCTTCAGTTCCCATGGGAGGGTAGCTGGAAAGTCTTCCCCTTCTCGGCCAGGCCAGTCCCCTCACTGACCCTGCCCCCAGGTCTATGTGCTGAAACGGCCCCATGTGGACGAGTTCCTGCAGCGGATGGGGGAGCTGTTTGAGTGTGTGCTCTTCACAGCCAGCCTGGCCAAGGTGAGCCCCTGCCTTCATAACTCACCCCCACCCCTTCCCTCACTGCTATAGGGCAGCTCCCTGGACAGGCCTCCACTCCTTCCTTCCTCCTTTTTCTATAAGGTGGGTGCGTATAAGAGTTAGGACTTCTCTCCTGAGTCCCCCTTTGCTAGGATCCCCATCACTCTTCACCACTAGTCAGGCTGAAGTAAAGATATCAACTTCCCCTTCAAGCCCTCCTACTACAATAACAGTAATTAATAGTAACAATAATAGTAAGAATAGTAATAATAGCTAGCTTTTATGTAGCATTGCAAAGTTTGCAAAGCACTTTATGTTATCTCCTTTGATCTCCTAACAACCCTGTGAGACAAATGTTATTATTTAACATTATTGTTTGTTATTGTTTAAGTAATTTGCCCACACTAGCTAGTAGCTGAGGCTGGATTGAAACCTCAGGTCTTCCCTGCACCAAGTGTAACATGCTATACATCATGCCATCCATTTCTGACCCCCCCCCCACTCCCTCCCAGTATGCAGACCCTGTTGCTGACCTGTTGGACAAGTGGGGGTCTTTTCGGGCCCGGCTCTTTCGAGAGTCCTGCGTCTTCCACCGAGGGAACTACGTCAAAGACCTGAGCCGTCTGGGTCGGGACCTTCGGAGGGTGCTCATCTTGGACAATTCTCCAGCCTCCTACGTCTTCCACCCAGACAATGCCGTGAGTATGAGGGATCGCTGGGGAGGGGAGGAAAGAGTCAGACTCCTGGAGTTTGGGACTGAGCGGAGGAGTGGATCAAAGGTGGGACAAAGGATTTGGAGATTAGCAGGGCTGATGAAGAAACGCCAATGGATTTCCCTACTCTGGATGGACCCTTCCAGGCACCATCTTAAGACAGGGTGACATGGGATTGTTGACCCAGTGGGACTGGAACAATGGAATGGGATCCCTGCAGTAGCCTTCACCCTCCTCCACGGTTCACATCCTTCTTCTTAGGTACCAGTGGCCTCGTGGTTTGACAACATGAGCGACACAGAGCTACAGGACCTCCTTCCTTTCTTTGAAAGGCTCAGCCGTGTTGATGATGTCTACTCGGTGCTCAAACAACAGAGGACTGAGAGCTAGTAGGGGGTGGGGCTGGTGCCCCTCCTGGTCACCCAGCTCCTAGGCCCCCTGCTTGTCTCACAGAGCTAGGTCTGGCCAGGCACTCGCCACCCCTGAGCCCCCACCTCAGCATCATGGAAGCTGATTCACTCTCTTCACACTTGAACTTCCTGTCACTCTCTTCCTTTTTTTTTTTTTTAAAGGAACGAATCAATTTTTAAATTCAGTGCCATGGGGAAGGACTCTATCCCCTTACCACTGCCACCAGCCAGCCCAGCCCACCTCACCAGATCCAGAATGGGAGGAGTGGATGAGGGTGATCAGAGAGATAAAGGAGCGGCAAGACCGAAGATGACCTCAGGCTTCAGGCTTCACCTCCTTTGTCCGACTCCCTCCACATCTGGCTGGGTCCTCTAGTACCAAGCATCAGTGCCTTAGATACTCTCCTGCTCCAGAAATGGAACTGTGGAAGGGGGTTAAGGTTGGAGGTGGGGACCCCCTACCCTTCTGTTCTCTTTCCTCTCTTCCAGTATTGCTGAGTTTCTCTGCTGCCAAATGTTGGGGACCCTTCTTAGGGAGGTGGGGAAGGGGAGTAGAGGGTAACAGTTCTTGTTCTGTGACCCAGTGCCTCAACCCCCTGAACTGCCACTCCCCTCCCCCCCAGCCTGCCCTTCTTGGTAGGCAAGGTTGGATGCAAAGTGCCTTGTTCAGAGCCCTTTCTCCCCAGAGGTTGGGGGTGGTAAGGAAAAATATAGGAGATGTCCCCAAAGCAGGTTTCTCCCTAAAAACAGTTCAGTTGAGAAGGATGGGAGGGGAGGTTTGATTTCAGGCAGCTCCCACACTCTCCCTCTGAAATGGATTCTTTCAATTAGTCCCTCTTAAAAGGGGGAGGATGACTATTACAGATGGGGAAACTGAGTCATATTAAAGAAGGGCCTACTGCCCTAGACCTGAAAAGGACCTACAAATACTGCCTCTGACCCCTAGGGTCTGCATGGGGTGGGCTAGGGGGCAAATACAGGAATCCCCTCAGTAATGTAACATTCTCAGGCCTGGGAGGCCCATTCTCCCCTAGTTCTTCCTGCCTTCTCCCCCCCCCCCCCCCGTCCCCCACACACACCCCTCCTTTCTCTCACGTCTGCCTTAACCATTAATATCCCAGGCCAAATGAAGCAGCCATTTGGGTGTGACTAACCCTTTCAGTCCCCAGGTGGTGTCTGGGGGAGGGGAGGGAAAAGGGGCTGGGGACCAGGGCTCCCAGCCCTACATCGTGCCATATAAATATGTATATGTGTATATAGATTTTTAGAGGAAAGGGGCAGGGAGTTTGAAAGGGTGGGAAGTCACTCCTTATCCCTCTTCTGGTCCTTGGACCTGAGAGGTAAAGGAGAGTGGGATGGGAAAGGATTTTTACATTTTTTTAAATTGCTATTTTCTGAACGGAGCGAGTGGGATTTGGGGATTCCAGTTCCTCATTCCCCTGCTCCACTCCTGCTCCGGGCCCACTAGTTCCGGAGCTAAGTCTGGTGCACCCTTAGTTTCCCCATATACCCCTGGTGGCTAATTTGGCTGAAAGGTTTGGTTGCAGCCCCAAGTGGGGTGGAGTTGAGAGCCTCTGGTATCTCCTGTCTCTCTTTCCCCATCTGCATGGGGTTGGGGGGTGGAGGGAGCATCCCTCAGCTCAGTGCAATTCAATACCTGCTTCTATCTGTCCATTCTCCATATGCCCCTTGCTTTGGGTCTGGCTTAAGGTGACTATGTGGGAATCCCCCTTTTGCCCAGAGGTGATCTCTTTCCCAGCAGACTCCTGGTCCCAAAGTTTCCCCACAGGGCTATTAGGATGTCAGGAATTTTGGTGGCCAGACCAAACTTTTTTTTTCTCGTGCCAACCTAAGCCATACAGCCCTTATCCCTAACTCCTCTATGCTTGCTCATTGGGGGTAGCTCCCAAGAAATCCAGAGACTGTGCCCCCTCCCTCCCACCCTGATCCCCTTGGTTCTAAGATAGACCCAAAGGTCAGCCCACTGGCCTTTTCCAGTGCCAAGGGGGAGTCAGAGTGGCAATACATATCAGAGTTTTTTCTTATTTCTCTTAAGCAAGGAGCTAGAGTGGTGGGCAGGGAAGATTGGACAGGGTTGGTGTAGGATATAGCTCCGTATAAGTGCCTTTTGTGGGACCCTCGTGTGATGGGAGTTCCTTGAGTGATAAAGAGAAAACCAGATCCCTCCCAATTAGTTTCTCTGTGTGTGCTTTTTTTTGGAGGGGGGAGAGAAAGGAGGCAATGGACAGGGGGTGAGATCCTGACCATGGGGTTATATGTGAGAGATTGAGTGTCTGGAAGCTTGTGACTAATACTGTGTATTTCTTAGAATGTGTGGGTGCAGGTTGGCCTCTGAAGATATACTCAACATCAGTCATTTCCCCCCACCCTCAAAGGAAACCAGGAACTCCCATAACCTGGGAAGGAATTAGTGGTGTGGTAGAACTTCAAACTGAACTGAATGAGATGAAATTTAATAGCGGTCAGTGTAAAGTCTTAAGCTTGAGATCAAGCAATCAATTTCATAAGTGTCAGATGGGCAAGACATGGTTAGAAAGCAGCTTGTCTGAAGAAAATCTGGGGTTTCTAGTAAAATACAAGCTTAATATGAGTCGACAGTATTATATAGCAACCAAGAACAGTTAATGGGGTCTTGACCTGCATTAAGAAAGGCATAACTGTCAAAGGACAACAGGCAAAATTTATAAAGCACTTTGTCACCCTTAAAGTGTATATAAATGCTAGCTATTGTTATTGTTATTATCATCACCACCACCACCCTCTTACTCTTAGGGTCAGACCAGATCTAGGGGGCTAAGGGGGGCCACAAGGTTGTAGAACTGGGGATGTTTAACATGGAGAAGGTTCTGAGGGGTAGGATAGGGGGAACCCATGATAATTGTCCTCAAGTATTTTAAAGGTTATACTGAGAAAGATTAAATCTAATTCTGTTTGACTACCACTCTATTGAGGAACAATTAGTAGAATAGTAAAGAGACCATGTGGGGCTTGATGTCAGGAAAAAAAAAACAGAATGTGCTGCCTAGGAATGTGCTCTAGAGGTTTACAAGCAAAGGCTGCGTGATTCTTCATTCGATGGTAAGGGGTAGTCTGCCTAGGCTGGGCTAGCTGGCTGCTGAGACCCTTACCAGCTCTAAAATTCTGATTCTGATGTGTATACTTGGGACTTCTGGAAATCAGATTGGCCTCCAGGGTTCCCTGCTTTTCCTTTCTTATTGGCTTCTAATGGGAGCAGCAAAATCCCTTCTGTTGCAGTTTGGAACTGGCATACAGAGCCTGCCATGGGATGAGTACCTCCTTGTAGAAACCCTTATAATTTGGAGGACACTGAGGAGAGGGAAAGAGACCCTGAGCCCCTTCTTTTAGCATCTGCAGGGCTGTCATGTATTGTATTTGAGCAGAACTAGGGCCCATAGGTGGGAGCAATACAAGGAAGAATTTTTTTTATGTAAGTATGTTAATCTTGGTTTTTTTAAATGTCTTTTTTTTTTTTGGCATCATCTACATAGCTCACCCCAGCCCTACCTCACCCAGTGAGCCATCCCTTGCAACAAAGATTTGGAAGGAAAAGGCTTAAAAACCAATTGGCAAAGACAGCTAACATCTATATGTAAGGCTCCCTCTCATAGTTGCCCACCTCTGCAAATGGCTAGGAGGTGCATTTTCTCAAACACTAAGGAGAAGCTTGTTAGTAATGGGACTGCCCCACAATGGGACGAGCAGGCTTATAATATTAAAGAAGTAGGTCATAGAATTTAGAGCTTGAAGGGGCCTAAGCTATTCTCTAGTCCAGGGGAAATGAAAGGATTTGTTCTGTGAAGTTTGGACTCAGTCAAAGGGCCACACTTGAGGACCTAGAGGGCTGCATTTGGCCTCAAGGCCTCTGATTCTCCACCCTGATCTAGTCCTACTGTGGGGTTGCAGAGAACCCTGTTTTGGAACCTGCATCATGGTTGCTTGCTACCTCTGTGACTTTAGGCAAGTCTGGAGGCCCAGAGATGCTAAATGATTTGCCAAGTGGGCTACAATGACAGGCAAAACCAGCCACTACCCTCAGGGAGCTTACAGTCTAATAAGGGAGACAACATGCAAAACATCTATGAACACAAAAGATACATGCAAAATAAATGGGAGGGAATCTCTGAAGGCACTAGCATTAGGATGGACCTGGAAAGTCCTCTTGCAGAAAAAGGTGACCTTTGAGCTGAATCCTGAAAGAGGGCAGCAGGTGGAGGGGAGAAGGGACTTTGTCCTCAGGTGATGGATGTTTTGGCCATCCAAAAAACAAATACAACATGTGGGACCCTACCCAACCCTTTCTGCAGTGGTAGAGAAACAGGAGTGCAGAGCCGAGAACACTCATCTCTGGACTTGACATGAACCAGGAGCTTCTCATAAATTACTCTTCAGCTCATGCTGTCCTTCCCATTGAGATTCACCCTTGTGATGTCATTGGACCTCGACAATGGAGGGACAACATACAACATACATACATACCTCCTGGGAGCTCAGGTTTCTACAGACGTGAGTGAAAGGGTCCTCACTGCCTATGCAAATACTTGAGTCAACACTATATATTTTAGATTCAATACAGCCTTTATTTTATCCCACTTAGAAAGGGTAGGAAACAACTTAAGGGACTAATAGTCCCATTGTAAATCATAAGAATTCTCTTTCCCACTATGGTGAATCACATCTTCCTTTCCCATCCTCAACAGCAATGCTTCCCACCTCCCAATCTATACAGTCCAGTCTATATTTGTAGTACCACCTATACTTCAGACTTTGTTCTCCCAGAAACAAAACAAACCTGGGATTGCTAAAAGGGACTTTCCACCTTTCAGTGAACCCCTTCACCTTCCCTAGGATCCTATATCCAACAACAGGACAGGTAGCCTTAATAAAACGGGATTCCTTATTGCTGGAAATGTTAAAGAAGAGGTTCATAGCCCTCCAGACCCATAGTATCACCCTTCTTGGAGCTCTCCTTGAGGTTTTAAGGGCATCCCCAGGTTCATGATTTAGATGTAAAGGCTGATACTGTAAGCAAACTGGGAGAGCAAGGAATAGTTTGCCAATCAGATTTGTAGAGAGCAGAAGAATTCATGACCAAACAGGAGATAGAGAACATTATGAAATGCAAAATGGATAACTTTGATTACATTAAATTGAAAAGTTTTTGCACCAACAAAGCCAATGCAACCAAGATTAGAAGGAAAGTAGAAAATTGGGGAAGAATTCTTACAACCAGTCTCTCTGATAAGGGCCTCATTTCTAAATTGCGTGCCATCTTGGGGAGAGAGGTGAGGAGGGAGGGGGAGAAAAATTTAAGACTCAAAAGCTTATGGAAGTAATTGTTGATAAATCAAAATATATTAATAAAAAAAGAAGGATACCCCCATTCCCATCAGAACTGCACCATCTGAATGATCCACAGCAATAGAGAAGGTTCGTGTTCCTCCACATAGTAACTCAGTCTACTTGCTTCTCTTTAATCCAAGATTCTTGCATCCTTCAGGCATTCCCAGGCATTCTTCTCTCCTCTCTATAATGTTGAGTCCCAGAACTGCCAATACTTCTTCCCACATCTAAAAGTTCAGGGACTCATACCACTCTGCTGTTACAACTTTTCAGGCCGTGTGATTTTTCTCTTCTCATGGGGCCATGTGGTTCCCTTGTCTCTATCTCCTGTGTCTAAGACTGAGAGGTAGTCCCATCTGGGCTTGAAGAATGGGTAGTCACAGGGATGGGTCTTTGCTGATGTGCAGGATTTAACCTCACCCCCCACCTCCACACCCGAGGAACCAAAATTGTTTCTTTGGTGGCCCTGTGTAATGGATATGAGAGGACAGGATCCACTCCAGGCAATTAAACAAGGATTTTCTGACCCTTAGAGTAAAGCTTCTGACAGAGGCCATGCTCTTAGTAAGCAGGCAATGGAGGTTAAAAATAGATTTAAGCCTGTGGGCAGTAGTTAGCTGAAACCGTACTGTGTTTCTAAGAGTTGAAGAATCCTTTTGGGAAGGAGACACTCATTTTAGCCAAGGCTCTGACAACAGACTCCCTAAGGGAAAGGGAAGAAAAACTGCTGAAGGTTTTTTTCTCCCTCATCCAACAAATGGGTGTGTAAGAGTGTTGCTTTCCCCAAAAGAGCTAAAGCTCTAAGTTTGCAGAGTCCACTCTCTCAAAGGGAAAGGTTGAGTCTCAGCTGAAGCAAGAATGTGGAAGCAGAGAGGGGTTCCACAACCCAATGCCCAGTGGATCTGTACCTGGCAATGGCCAGCATTCACCAGGGGACCAGTTGAGCATTGTCAATAATTGATCACTAGAGGCTATTAGGGAGAAAAACTTGTGGAGGCAACATGCCTAGCAGAGACCATCACTTAGCAGAGATCCTCAGAGAGCAGTACAGTGTCATCACTAGAAGACATGGGTATTCCTGAAGCACTGGAAACCCACATATGTGACTCTAAATATTCTTCATGTGTCTCCACTCTTTTGATGGATATGTAAGAGTGTGTCTTCAAATTTATGGGGAAAATGGATGATTGCTACTTTCTTATTAAACTATGTCAATGTGTCTTTGGTTTGAGTTAATTGTGCCTGGCTAACTAGCAAAAATAAACGTATCAGTTAGGGGGAGGAGGGCCTTGTGAGCTATGGTTTGGAGTGGGTCAAGACCCACAGAACACTTTGAACCCAAGGCAGTTTTGTTGAGGGGCCCCATCTGCTAGTTGGGGTATGCCCCTAGAAGCTACACTTGTTAAGTTGCCCAGGTTTGCTCCCATACGCAGGAAATAGAAGAGGCAGTTAGTTAAGTGGCTCAGCGGATAGAGCTCTGAGCCTGGAGTCTGGAAGATCTGAGTTCAAATCTAATCTAATGCACTTATTAGCTGTGTGACCCTGGGCAGGTCATTTAACCTTTGTCTGCTTCAGTTTCCTGAACTGTAAAATGGGGAGAAAATAGCACCACCCTCATAGTGTTGTGAGGATCAAATAAGACCTTTATAAAGGAACTTAGTACAATGCCAGGCATATAGTAGGTACTTAATAAATGCTTACTCTATTTTTTTCCCTAAGAATCAGGTCTTTAAGTGCCTATAAACATCAGCCAATAGCACTGTGCTCTACATGTGATATATTTGTCCAACAATAATATAGAAACAACAGAAC